TATATGTATATAGTGATTTTAAGAATAGTAGGCAGATTATGTTTGCACTGCTTCCACATCCCATAACTCTTTGCTGTTTCCTCTGCAGCTGAGACTAAGATCTGTTTCAAGTACTACCATGGAGTGAGTGGCGCCCTGAGAGCCACGACCCCGTGCATCACTGTGAAGAACCCTGCAGTCCTGGTCTGTGTGTGTGTGTGTGTGTGTGTGTGTGTGTGTGCGTGTGCGTGTGTGCATGTGTGAGAATCAGTCTCAGGCTTAGTTCTGTCGTTATGGTTAAAACTTGGCATTGGGGGTAAGATTACATCAAGTAATTATAAAGTTACAAATATTTTAAAATCTGATTACTGAAAAGTGATCAGTGGTCAAGTACACATGATTTGTACCTAATGGAGCCACGTGGTGGTTCAAGCAAACATGTAAGTCATCGTTTGACCATGTGTGAACTGATGAGCAGTGCATCCTTGCTGCTACACCACTGCATGCTTTCAGGAATTGAATTCCCCCTTGCTACCAAGTTGTCTCCTGTATTAGCATTTAGATTTATGTGCATTTATTAGGACAAGCACAGGTGTGTGTTTGCTGGAATACAACTTGGTGTGTATTCTCTCTGTGGTGTACATAGTGTGATGTTGTTTGTTCTCTCTCAGGTGGAGGGCCTGGCAGAGCAGGTTGGCATCGAACATCCACGCAAACTGATCAGCTTCACTTTAACGGGTGAGTTGAGAAGTTTACATGATGGAAGACATTTTGACTCAAGTTATAAAATGCAGATTTTAGTTACACACTGCCATGCAGATTGCTTTTGTCATGTAATCAATCTCAATAACAAATCAAAGAAAATTTGGAGCTGCAGTGAATGACTGCAAGTCAATTGGACAAAACCTTTAAAGACACAGACAGAATTTAGGTCTTAAGCTGAGTGATGCAATCTCGTCCTCAAGTTTGTCTCACAAAAGCTAGAGTAAACTTTGAAAACTGTGTGCAGGAAACAGAGAAAGGCAGGGAATGTTTTCAATTTTCTATAGAAGCTAGGATCGGGATTTTTAAAAGAAGTTACAGAAAAATATCAGCATGTAGCAGTACAGCTCGTTACAATAAAAGATTCCTTCAGAAGTGGCTTTTAGCTGTTTTGCCCCGCTGCAAGCCCAACCGTAGCATTAGCATTATTCCACATGACAACATTAATAAACCAGGAGGACATTGGAAGTGCTCTGATAAAGTTACATATCAAATGGGTCTCACTCCCAACTCGTCAAATATGAACGCTTGGTCAGTGGCCCCGGGCGTCAGATACTGATGCAGTGAGGCACCCTTTAGCGGTTACACTCGTGATGTGACCTTAGTAACAAACGTTTTACTGACCATGATGTTTTTTATCTAACCACCTGCTTTTGTTGTCTAAACATATGGAGGTAAACCTAAAAACAAAATCCTACATTCTAAGTTTATTGTAAAGGAACAATGCATGTAATGGGTGCAAATTGACATGACATCCCTAAGCGTCCAAAACTATTGCTGGAGGCATACCTGATTTTTTTATTTTTTTATTTTCAGTAAAACAAACTTACACAATAGACATAAAGCACCCAGTACTATTTACAGAAAATAACAGAAAGAAAGACAGGGGATTGATATCTAGAACTTCAGTCCAAAGCTGTCAGACGAAAGCTATGCTGGCAAAACAAGAGACTGCCCCTTCCGCCAAACAAACAAACAAAAACAAAACCAAACAAAGGAAAGCACATGTGGGTGGGGGGCTGCCGGAATATCAGTCAGTATACAGTATGAGGCAGAATTTGCACAGAATAAAGATAGATCACAGCTGCAGAGCTCATGAGTCATACAGTCAGGTCTCATCAAGCAATGTCAACTCCAGCTTCCATATCTTAAGGAAATATTTTTGTGAATTTCATTAGCTAAAGCCAATCTGCTCCATCGTAGCAATAGAAAGCATTTGTTAAGCCCCCTCCTGAAACATGGGGAATGTTTGAAAGGATGCCTATTTTATATTGCTTGGACAACCAATTAAATATGGCCCACCCAAAATGACCTTCCACACTGAACAGTTCCAGATAGAGCATCACAGTTTGATGTGTAGGTCCCACTGACCAGGGGTCAGTATTTAAGGAGTTGAGAGTGAGAATGTGTTGCATATATAATTAACCTATGGCTAAGCCACACCCCCCTCCACTCACTCGGACAAAATATCAACATTCAGTGACTGGCGCTATGGCAAGTGTCACAGTACACGGCATTTCGCAGGAGGCAATTGATGATTTTTGGAGACATAACGATCAGATGATTGAGAAGTAACCAAAGGGGCCTAAACTAGGCATTGGACGGATATTAATCATTTTATTGTTGAGCAGGTCGATGAAAAGCTTAAATTACAAGCCAAAATTTACTGGTCCCAGTGTAAGCAATAAACCACATCTCGTTGCCGTCACCATCAAAGACAACAAGATAGAGGATCAGCATTGTTCCACTGAAGTTAAGTTTTTTGGCTCAGAATATGAGAAAAGGATAACAGCTTTTTTACCATCTTTATCAAGAGTGTCTCTCCGTTAGTTTGGTGCTACAGTACTTACACTGAATCATTCAGCATAACGTTTGCCAACCTTTGTTATCTCTGCGATTACAGATAAGATAATGAAGCTAAGCTCCAGAAGTTAACGTTAGTTTAACTAGAGCCCTTTGGACAACAGCTAACAATGATGTACGATCACCAAAGTACAAAAACTCGAACAAAATAGGCTAATGAACTCCCAGCAAACAAGGTGACATGATAAACAACGCAGCTAGGAGCTAATGTTAGGCTAACTTTAGCTAATGTTAGCTAGAGATGTTAAAGATAACTTTATATTTCTTCCCAGCAAAGTGACAATATGTTGCCTCAAACACGATGTTGACTTACCTTAGAACAGATGTAGACATCCTTGTTAATCTTATTCACGGTGAGTTGATTTTGTGGTCTACCGCACAACTTTATCCAAAGGAGACACTTTTCTCGGTTGAGATGTGGTTTAGTAAAGGGTAAAAAATACACCCCGTCGCCCAGCCTCTCAGGATACCTTGTGACGGAGTTGCACGTACCCCATGCACACCGTTTGACCACTTTTAAACTTCAAATCTGAGAAAAAGCGTATAAACCGAACGAAACTGACTTTCTGTTATGCATTTTAAAGGACGTCCAGGCAGAGAATGTCGGAGTGTATGGGAATGGCTATATGCACTGTGATTGGCTTATCGCGTCTGGGGGCGGGGTTTAGCCATTGGTCAATTATTAAGATTTTTGTATGGACTCAGACAGAAAAGGAGTTTAAGGAAGGGTCAATAATATGACGAAGATATGACATTAGAGAACTTGTCACCCGTAGCACTTTCTTCTGTTTGTCATTATGCATCCGCAGCTGAAGTTTTATATTACAAGCAACTTCAGAATAGTTTAGTGTGGCTCTTGAAATGGCAGCATCGGTCAGTTGGTTGGTCCACCACATTGATACTAAATTATTACCACTGCAAATATGGTATGGATTTCCACAGAACTTGGTACAGATATTCATGGTTCTAAGAGGATGTGCAGAGGATAAGGATGAAATTTAGCACAGATAGACTTATGAATTAATAAAAATAATAACAATAGTAAATTATATATATACATAGCACAATTTATCCATAAAATGCAACACAAAGTGCTGAACAAATCAAAACATTTGTAATAAAAAAGGAGAAAAGGATGATAACAGTTAATAAAAATAAACAGAATAAAATTAAATTCAGTTAAAACTGCAGGCTAAGACAACATAAAACAACCATCGGTTATAAACTAATTTCAGGAGAAAGCAATGGCAAAAACAGGTGTCTTAAGATTCCGTTTCAACAGATTTAGAGCCCCTAAGACTTTCAGGCCAACTGTTCCAGAATTTCGGAGCATAATTAACAAAGGCTGCCTTACTGTGCCTTTTAGTTCTGCCCTCTAGAACAGTCAAGAGGTTTGAGTCAGATGATCATTAGGGCCTAGCAGGCACATATAATAATATGGTGGTTCCCAACTGGTGGATCACAGTCCAAACGTAGGTTGCGGGTTATTCTGAATGGACCGCAAGTGACTCCCGAACGTGTCAGGTTTGTGGAAAAGACACTTTGCCTTGTAGTGAAATAAAGTACGTTTCCGGCACAGGGCTTTTATGTTGCAATGGTGTTTCCTGCTGTAGAGAGAGAGACTAACAGACAGCTAAATGACAGAGACAGCAAACTAGCTGGCCAAACGAGAGTATGACCCTGAATATATCAAACTGTGTGGTCCTTGCACTAATGGCTAAAGAGAAATCTGGACTCTTTTGGTGGACCAGTTGGGAACCACTTCAATAATATATAATTTTATATAATTACAGTATAGTCATCATATAATTATAGTATAATAATAATAATAATAATAATCATAATAATAATAATGATTATTATTATTATTATTATTATTATATAATGTAATCACTTAACCTATCTTACCTAACTTTCCATCTAACATCTTTGCAGTACTTTGTTTGTGACCAATTACCTGTAAAACTCATAACAGCCCCATTAGCCTCAGCTGTACTTTGCATTTAGTGCTAATTAGCAAATTTTAGCATGCTAACAGAATATGCTAAAGATGGTAAACATGGTGAACATTATAACCCTAAACATTCACATATTAACATTATCATAGTATTTAACCCTTTCTTCTTCACAAGCCTGCTGTAACTATTACTTTGTTCCAGATTTGCGGGCCACTGGTCTGAAGAAGGGCATGTTTTTCAATCCGGACCCGTACCTGAAGATGTCCATCCACCCAGGGAAGAGGAGCGTCTTCCCCATCTTCAGCCACCACGGACAGGAACGACGATCAGCCATCATTGCTAACACCACCAATCCCGTCTGGCATGGAGAGGTGACACTTTTATATACAGTACAGGCCAAAAGTTTGGACACACCTTCTCATTCAATGCGTTTTCTTTATTTTCATGACTATTTACATTATAGATTCTCACTGAAGGCATCAAAACTATGAATGAACACATGTGGAGTTATGTACTTAACAAAAAAAGGTGAAATAACTGAAAACATGTTTTATATTCTAGTTTCTTCAAAATAGCCACCCTTTGCTCTGATTACTGCTTTGCACACTCTTGGCATTCTCTCCATGAGCTTCAAGAGGTAGTCACCTGAAATGGTTTTCCAACAGTCTTGAAGGAGTTCCCAGAGGTGCTTAGCACTTGTTGGCCCCTTTGCCTTCACTCTGCGGTCCAGCTCACCCCAAACCATCTCGATTGGGTTCTGGTCCGGTGACTGTGGAGGCCAGGTCATCTGCCGCAGCACTCCATCACTCTCCTTCTTGGTCAAATAGCCCTTACACAGCCTGGAGGTGTGTTTGGGGTCATTGTCCTGTTGAAAAATAAATGATCGTCCAACTAAACGCAAACCGGATGGGATGGCATGTCGCTGCAGGATGCTGTGGTAGCCATGCTGGTTCAGTGTGCCTTCAATTTTGAATAAATCCCCAACAGTGTCACCAGCAAAACACCCCCACACCATCACACCTCCTCCTCCATGCTTCACAGTGGGAACCAGGCATGTGGAATCCATCTGTTCACCTTTTCTGCGTCTCACAAAGACACGGCGGTTGGAACCAAAGATCTCAAATTTGGACTCATCAGACCAAAGCACAGATTTCCACTGGTCTAATGTCCATTCCTTGTGTTTCTTGGCCCAAACAAATCTCTTCTGCTTGTTGCCTCTCCTTAGCAGTGGTTTCCTAGCAGCTATTTGACCATGAAGGCCTGATTGGCGCAGTCTCCTCTTAACAGTTGTTCTAGAGATGGGTCTGCTGCTAGAACTCTGTGTGGCATTCATCTGGTCTCTGATCTGAGCTGCTGTTAACTTGCGATTTCTGAGGCTGGTGACTCGGATGAACTTATCCTCAGAAGCAGAGGTGACTCTTGGTCTTCCTTTCCTGGGTCGGTCCTCATGTGTGCCAGTTTCGTTGTAGCGCTTGATGGTTTTTGCGACTCCACTTGGGGACACATTTAAAGATTTTGCAATTTTCCGGACTGACTGACCTTCATTTCTTAAAGTAATGATGGCCACTCGTTTTTCTTTCGTTAGCTGATTGGTTCTTGCCATAATATGAATTTTAACAGTTGTCCAATAGGGCTGTCGGCTGTGTATTAACCTGACTTCTGCACAACACAACTGATGGTCCCAACCCCATTGATAAAGCAAGAAATACCACTAATTAACCCTGATAAGGCACACCTGTGAAGTGGAAACCATTTCAGGTGACTACCTCTTGAAGCTCATGGAGAGAATGCCAAGAGTGTGCAAAGCAGTAATCAGAGCAAAGGGTGGCTATTTTGAAGAAACTAGAATATAAAACATGTTTTCAGTTATTTCACCTTTTTTTGTTAAGTACATAACTCCACATGTGTTCATTCATAGTTTTGATGCCTTCAGTGAGAATCTACAATGTAAATAGTCATGAAAATAAAGAAAACGCATTGAATGAGAAGGTGTGTCCAAACTTTTGGCCTGTACTGTATGTATACTCAGAGGATGTGTCCAAACAGGCTTTCACTCAGACACACACACATTCGCTCTCAGATACAATATGTACTGACTGCATTTGTTTGTCCGCCTCTCTGCAGAAATACACGTTTGTAGCACTAATGACAGACATCCTGTACATTGAGGTGAAGGACAAGTTTGCCAAGAGTCGACCGATCATCAAACGCTTCCTCGGTCAGCTTACTATCCCTGTGCAGAGACTTATTGAAAAAATACCAGGGTAGGTGTGAAACATGCAGACACAAGTTCATGCAGGAATAGAAAGTACATACTCTGTGTGTGCTTTATGTAACAACAGTCAGCTTCAGTTCAGTCAGAAGGACATTTTTATGACTTACTCTCATGGCGTTAATGTATCTGTTTTTCTCTTTGCTGTCCAGAGTCCAGCCTGTGAGTTTCCCCCTGTGTCGCCGCCTGCCTACTGAACATGTAAGCGGCCATTTGCAGTTCAAGGTGGAGCTCACATCGACTGGGCCTGATGGTAAATCTGGCTTTAGTTTAATTAGCCACTAATACATTTTTCTTGAAATTTGTTTCTCTTAACAACACAACCTTTTGTGCCTGCTGCAGGTGCCTCTCCTGAGTCAATCATTGGCATTTCGTCCCTAAATGGAGCTCCAGGGACTCCCTCTGATGATGAAGACCTGCCCCATCATCTTCCAGGAGTGGTCTCTTCTGGCCCTTCCCCTACTGGCTCCCAGGGCTCCCAAAGCATGTGGGAAGGTGGGGCCACGGCCTACCCAGAAAAGGACTTGCCTCTTGTTGGAGCTCAGGGTAGATTTGTGGAGCATGAAAGCCTGTCATGCCATGAAATGCTCCAGAGGTCACTCAGTGAGGGCCTTGATGCTATCGAGGCCCCCAAAGGCCCTGGTGAAAGACCCCTGGGTGCGGCCTCGCCTAAACTGCGCTCCAGCTTCCCCACACACACAAGGCTCAGCGCCATGTTGCACATCGATTCAGATGAAGACGATGAGAGGTCTGGAGCCAATGACATCATTCCGGTGCCACTGTCACCTCTGCTGATGAATGGGGTACCTCCAGATGTCGGTGGCCCTGATGAAGATGATGCGTTTACTGAGCTCAAGCAGAAGCCGGAGCAGCTGGAGCCAACAATACTGGAAGAGGAGCCCGAGGGTGCAGGCGCTTTGACAGAAGACGTGCCCCCTGAGGCAGAGGTGGCCCTGGAGATAGGGGCAGGTCTGGACCTGGAGGATGTTTTGGAGCCAGATGTCTTCTCTGAAGTGGAGGAGGCTCCTTTCACAGAGGCTGTGTCCCATAATGCTATGCCAGAGGGTGAAGTACATGATGAAGGAAGGGGGCCTGGCGAGGACGCCTCCTCAGAGATTGACACCTGCTCCATGGCAACAGCCCCACAGACAGTCTTCTCATCATCAGAGAGCTGTCCAATCACAGTGACAACTGCTGTGGTGAGTTCATTATCCTTATATGGTCATAACCCAAGATTCAACTCTGTATCTTCTGTATATTTTGCTTTTGTCTAATTTCCTCGTTCCATGTCTTTATCTTCTTTATCTCTGAGTGAATGTGTAGCTGCTATGGGCGAGTGTCATTACTGTACCCACAGTGCACACATTGTACTGAGCAGCAGTCTCCGCTGGGTCCTAGCTCCAGCTGAATTCACGTGACACTGCACCATAACATTCTGCTGTAGCACCATCATTCCACGTTCAGCATGCAGTGTTAAATGCATATTCTCAAGCAGTGTGTTTGGAGGGGATAATGTTGCCTATTATCCGATTGTCTTGTACCAGTAGTGATTTTCAAGGAACAGAACTTGAGTGGGAACCAGTGATCTGTGTCCACTTTGATGGGATTTTTAGACAAATGTTCAATGACTGTTTCCTTTTACCACTTGTGCCTACGCTCCAATGCATATTTGCATGAAGTTCAATATTACTCAGCTTTCTTTTGTTGCCTTGGTGATGGTGCCAATGCTGCCTCATGTTGTGAGCTGGCTTTGGGGGTGACTAACTCTCTGTAATTCACAGATATTTGATAACAGTAGCTGTGAATCATGAATGGCGGTAAAAAGAGAACTGGGTGGCCCTGTTTACTCCTATGAAAGTTGCTCAGTGGCATATGAGACCAAAGAAGTTCAACTGCCATGTATAAATGATCCGTATGATCGGCACTGCCTCTGCACTGTGTGGACCATAGAACAGGCACACTAGAGACTTCTGCTGGTGTTGCTAGATACCTCTGGTTTAGCACTCTGCTCCCTTGAATGGGGACGAAATTATTTGATTTTGTGTCTCTTCTGGACTTTCCAAATGTTATCTGATGGAATGCATCATGTGATGGTGTATTTACATTGTTTGGCCACTACAAAAACTGGCATCAAAGCCAGGCATACTTCCTGGGGGCCTGGTGCGAATGCCTTGCATAGATACAGATGGTAGCCTATATCTGGGAATGCCCACAGATCATCACGTCCTTTGATGTCGAGGGGGAAAACAAAGCATTCACTTACATGCTGATGAGTTGCTGAATGTCTTTCTACACATCCAATAAACTTTAAAATCCAGAGTTAAAGGGTATTTTTCAACCTAGACCATATTTTCCTATGTTTTTGTGTTTAAGTTATTAATGGGAACAATATATTTTCAAAGTGGTCCAGTACTGTGCCAGAGCAGCAGCCAGGCTGCAATGTAAACACTCAGGGCATGTTGGTATCATCAATTTATGTCCAATAAATGTGCTTATTTTTGCCATTGACAGGCTCAGATTTTTATTTTAAGTGTCTGACAAGACTAGACCAGACTAAATTTAAAATAACAATAATTTTATCCATGTAACACACACTTTATTCAGAGTCGACAGAAACAAAACAAAACACAAAGAAATCATCTTGGTTTGTCTTTCCACTGTTTTAATAATCACCAACTTGGATTTGGTTGAAATAAACCTTTGATTATTCCAGTTAGATGTGTCAACATGCTGCCTCTGACACGCTAAAGTTACTGTTTAAAAAAATTGAGTGTGGTGGTTTTGGTGATGGCAATTTTTGGGCTTCTGGTTTCTGGTTAAACAAAAGGGATCTAATGCTTTATCAGAACAGTACTAGGTTGTCTAGACACACAAAAAAGTTGTTGGCCTCCAGGGGTTTGTGTAGTTTTTGAGGTTGCAAATCCGTGTGTGATAACTTTATAGCGCATCATCAAAACACAGGCTAATGACATTTAGTAACATCAGTGCTGCTTTACTGTATTGAAATGTGCATGGAATTCACTTAAACATGTTGTCTTTTACATCATAATGTTAATGGCTATAAGGTGCTGATATCATGGTAAGTTAAATTCATTGTATATATAGTATACCCCGCCCCCTAAGTATAGTTAGACACTGAGGGCCGAATTCACAAAAGGATTGCGTGGCTTTTGCGGCTGCTAAACCGATATAAATAAGTAAGTAAGTAAACTTTATTTATGGAGCAAACAGATACCGTCTAATTCACAAAGCACGTGCAGAGGGTGAAATGCTCCACTAACTGTGCTGCCAAGCAGATTGCGTCTTGGCGCTCTGGTGTTATTTGCACGTATTTAAATGAGGTTATATGCATATATTTGTGCAGTTGTGGTGCAAACTGGGCACTCCTCTGTGGAAGCCTCTCGCCCAGACTTTCCAGTGATCATCTGTTAAATCAGTCTGTAAATAATATTTTGACATTATTATTATAATCATTATTACTTTAATGGCATCCGAAGATATTGATGCGATGAACAGGTGACAGTCTGCAGTCAGCTATCAGCGGCCACAGTTCATTCTTTGTGAATTAGGCCCTGATGGTATCTATACCAGTGTATATGTATGATTAACTTACTTCAGTGATGTAATTTTTTTTATTGATTCTCCTCTATAAGATTATCATTCAGTCAGGACAACTTGAGTCAATGAAAACTATTTCCATTTACAGTATTATATTTGGCAGTATGGCTCTGTTGTGGGGCCTCTCAGCCATTCCTCAGGCCTACACAGAGAGCCTAAGGCGGAGAGAGCACACCTCTCCGCCCTTCCGTGCGCATACAAGGAAAGCCTGAGGCAGAGACAGCAAACCTCCTTGCCCTTCCATGCACCTATGCATGGCTGTAAGGCAGGGAGAACAGCAGCAAAGATGCCCCAGGAAGAGAATCAATGACAAACAGAAATGACATTGATAAGTTAGAACCTGCATGAAAAGGAGGAGCTGGGGTAGAGGCTGGTTGCAAAGCGGCCTGCAGAGGAAGAAGCAACAGTAGGCAGGCCAAAGCAGTTTAAATAGGGTGCCCTGAATGAGATTTGCCAATTGGCTGCACAGAAAGGAATCATGTGATCGATCAGCTGACTCCCTCCATCAGTTGATTGGGCTGTTGGAGATCAGCTGATGTAGCTGGGATGTGAGCTGAGCTTGACTAGCTTGTCCTGCCTGAACTAACGCTATGCTCAATATTTGTCTGTTGTTTTCACTCATTATTTTTTTTTATTTTGTGGGATATTTTGTAGGAAGCGGAGGAAGGAGCTGAGACGGCCATCGATCCAGGGGGAGACGTCATTTCTGGAACCCCACCAACTAATCAAGCTGTAGACGATGAAGGAGGTGGGCAGGTTGCTACCACTGAGACTGCAGGAGAAGGTCCCCCACCCTTCGAGCGAGAGGTGGTTGAGGAGATCATTGTGAGGAGGCTGAGCCTGCAGGCTGCTGGGGGCATGGCTGAGGAACAGGAAGGGGAGGAGACAAAGCCGCACGAGGAGGTTGGCTCTGCTGATTCAGAGCAAGCCACCACAGAAACAGATGGAGAGGAAGGTACTCAGCTTTAAACTTCTCAGTGTTATCTGGCAGTAATTTATTTTTGAAATGAAACGGTTTGGGCTCTGGTTGGATTTTACTGTCCAAAAGGTGTTTCACCTGCTTAGAAGTTAAGCTGAACAAAGGTGCCACTACAAACTAAACTTTTACCATTCTCATCATATTGTATGTTTTCTGTGTTCAGGCACTCACGTTAACGGCCATCCTGTACGTTCGCTTCCTTCTGTGCGTCATGACATCCACAGATACCAGCGTGTGGACGAGCCTCTACCTCCCAGTGAGTGTGTGTGTCTGCATGCACCGTATTGTTTGTCTATTGTGTCTGTGTGTCTTTTTGTTTATGTGTCTGTGTTTGTGTATGTGTCCATACTGAATGACCCTAACTTAAACTACACATCCTGAGCCACAAATGAATCACATGGCTTTCTTACTTTATAGTGAGATATGGTGGAAAGAGGATGTAAGTAAAATTATCTGAGGTTTTGCATTTCTTTATAGCCACACTAGTAGGGCTTCCAGTGTCTGTCAGCAGTATATCAGTCCACCCACTCCAGACTGAAATATCTTGATGATTACCAAAAATGTTTTCAAAGACGCTCATGCCCTGCAGATGATAAATCCTAATGTTTTTGGTGCTGTTGTGACTTTTCATCTATTCCACCTTGAGGTTTTCCTGTAAGATATGGTGATGATTATCAGGTGGACTGTTGTGAAATCTGGTAGAAGTGAAATAACTTTACTGAATCTCTGACTTTTCCTGTAGCACACACGTCAGAATTTTAGTTTGTCCAATACTTTGGTTTATGACATAATCACTTAACGGTTCTGTATGCAACATGCAGGACATCATTATGGCAGCAAACCACTATTAGTCGTATAAGGATATAGTAAAGTTATGGCACCCAGAGCAGAGAATAAGGTCATACTCCCTCTGTGTGTGTTGTAATCTGAGCTTCTCTGTTGTTTGTTCTGATAAGCCGGTCTGGTCATGCGTGCATGTTAGTGTATGTGTGTATCCCACTGGCTCGCTCATCCCCACTGCTTCATACTGCGCTCAAACTGTGGTTACTGCTGATATCGGGACAGCTTCGTCACAAAGGTGTAGCACCCACCCTGCTGTTCCCCCCTGGTTAACACCATGAGCTCTGTGAGCAATGTTGCAGTTGTTTAGTGCTGGTTATGGAGTTAACATCATTAGCTGGTAGGGCTGCCACTAACGATTATTTTCATTGTCGACTAATCTGTCGATTATTTCTTCGATTAGTCAACTAATCATTCCATCGAAAAATGTGTTAAAATGTTGAAAAATGTCGGTCTGTCTCGCCCAAACCCCAAAATTACGTCATCTAATGTCTTGTTTCATACTCATGCCAAAGGGTTTTAGTTCACTGTCATGGGAGAGTGTGTAAAGCTGCCAATATCTGAACGAGGAAGCTGCAGTAAGAGTATTTTGGGGTACTTTTATAGTACTTTTCTGTGAAAAATGACTCAAACCGATTAGTCGACTACTAAAATAGTCACCGATTATTTTAATAGTCGATTAGTCATCGATTAGTCGACTAATCGTGGCAGCCCTATTAGCTGGTAGCTGCTGGCTAAGCCACCGGCACGTTGAGAACCATGTCCAGACAACTCGTATGCTCTTTTGCTTGAATTACTATTATTAATATCAGAAAATGTAATGACTCACAGAACTAAGATAGTTAACATGGCAAACATTTAAGCTGCTAAACATCAGGACTTTAACTTTGTCATTTAGAGCAGTGGTTCCCAACTGGTCCAGCCCCGGGATCCAGATTTCTCCTTAGTCATTACTTCAAGGTCCACACAGTTTAATACATCCGGTGTTATACTTGTTTTTTGCCATGTCATCGGGCCAGTCTGCTGTCTCTGTCAAATAGTTGTCCGTTAGTCACTCACTCCACAGCAGGAAATGGCACTTCAAAATAAAGTGTGTTTCTTTACAAACTTTACACATTTGTAAGTCATTTGTGAGTTTGTGGGCTGTGGTCGAAAAGTTGGTCACGGGTCCATTACGAATGGACCCTCAATCATTCAATCAATTGGCTCATCCTCAGAGAGCTACTACTGTAGCATGTCGGCAAACTAAGAGTTTGCCGACAGTTAAGTTAATTTTGACCCAGAATTAAAGACCATATACAATAATGGACGTAGCTACCGTGATGTCATCCATTTGTCTGTGGACTGTGGACTCCCGTTTTGAAGCCTCAAATTCAGCTCTTTGGCTGTCACCAACTTGTTTTTTTGGAGCCAGAAGTGACCATATTTGGGTGAGAGGCAGGCACTCTGGAGCGGCAAGGGGTGTATCTGACTTAGAAGCCTAGGACACTATTGGCAGACAGCCTGTCACTGAAAGTGTCCAGCCCTTAACCATGAGTAATTTTAAATCGTAATAAAATGTTAATTAGTTAGTTATAAAAAAACTTCACACCCTGTACAGTTGTCATGAAGGGGGAAATTAACTGACCGTTTTCTTGTTCCAGACTGTAAACACGTTTATTTCTTCGGTAAAGTTAGTGATTTTAACATGGGGGTCTGTGAGCATTGACTTACTCTTGGAGGCAGCCTCAAGTGGCCATTTAAAGAACTGTAGTTTTCAGGCATTTCAGCGTTTCATTTTTCAGCCACACAGGTTGCCACTTGCCCAGAAGTAGATAAAGAATAAAAGATTTCTGATCACTGATGACTTTATTCAGTTGTTGATGTTATCATCAAGTCATTAATTGCTGGCTAACACTTATATTTACAGTTGTGTTCCCCTGAGGCATTAAACACCTACTGTGTATCAATTATTAATCGCCTCTTAGACTGGGAGGCTCGGATCGACAGCCATGGGAGGATCTTCTTCGTGGACCACGTGAACAGAACCACCACATGGCAGCGTCCCACCGGACCACCTGCCCCGCAGGGCCTCACTCGCTCTAACTCCATTCAGCAGATGGAGCAACTCAACCGCAGGTGGGTTTTGTGAAGAGAAATGTATTGCAATAACCATTGTGTTTTTCTCAGCAGCAAATGCCATTATTTGATGCCATTAAGTATAGCAAAATGTTCAATATGTCACTGAACAAGGTCTTACTATTATCACTAGAGGATTTAAACAGACGACAGAATCAAAACGAACTGACAAAAATGTCCCAGTGTCACAGACCTGTCTTTTCAGTTATGTATTCTTTATAAAGCGACATTGTCTGAATATTTTTTAGTTTTTTGAGCTAATGTAACTTTGTATTAACAAAGGTATACAAAGGCTTTCAGTAGAGAAATTCAACCAGCTTTTGCATTAATCTCTCCTTGCTAAACATGCCCCTGTCTTAGTGCCCCCCTTTTTATTTCACTTTTAGAGAAATTATTTAAGTACATAGTTTTATTAAGTAAAAACCTACATTCTTTGCTGAAATAGTAGAAAACTATACTTTCACTACAGTAACTTTCTCTTAACTCTCGATCACAGGTACCAGAGCATCAGGAGGACCATAACAAACAGTGATCGGGCAGAGGAAACCCCAGTTGACCTGCTTCCTGAACCAGAAAGTGAACTGTTGCCTCACTCCATTTCTGGTTAGTGTCAATGGACCTTTTAGAGAAAAACACACAAATTGAAAAATTAGAGGTTTCATTTACCAGAGCTCTGCACTATTTTTGAGAAAAAAATATTTGCCCAATTATATGACTCACCTCTTGAAAATGATTCATCTCTTGAAATACTACAGTAATCCATGAGTCTAAAAAAGCTATTGTGTCTCAAAATAGCTGTAGTCTGTAGTCTGTTTCCTTTAAAACCTGACAGATAATGCTGGATATGAATATGAGTTTTTTTTTAATTAAATAAGTGTCTTTTGTTAGTGTCTGCCTGTCTGGGAGTTTGAATAGTACGTGTTGATTTTGTTGCAGAATACCGACGAGAAAGTGCTGTCGCTCACTCCAGTGGTCGCTCGCGTCTCTCTCTGCTGCTCCAGTCACCCAGCGCCAAGTTCCTGTGCAGCCCTGACTTCTTCACCGTGCTGCATTCTAACCCTGTCAGTCCAGCATGCTTCAATTCCTCTGTTACCTTTGATCCTGTGCTCCTTTTACACACATCTGTCTACATACAGGCAGACATACAGTATCACTGCCCTTAAACATATCATTTTGACTGGTTTAGCACTCGCCACAGTCATGGGACTCAGATACAGTTAATGCTGCCTGAATGAGTCACAGTGTCAGTCTGCCGCCCACAGTGCTACATTTCAGTACACTACTGTAATGTAGCAATGCTGAGTGTGTGGCCCATTGTTGTTGTGTAGTAGAAGTCATACAATGCTGAAATAGTTAACCAGCTTCTCATAAGCAATGATCAATGATGGAAATCATTTCTCTCTTACCTCCAGTTGTACCTGGCCATGCAGATAAGTTTTGGTTTATGTGCAGTACAGGTTTAGTTGCAAATACCAAAGAACCTGGGCATGCACAGAGAAAAAAAGTGTTAAGCATTGTTACAGACACAAAGGGTAGTGCCACAATATGTTGCAGTATAGTGTTAAAACATGTTTAAAGGTATACTTTGCAGGAATTGTCTGGTCTATTTGTAAACAAAACATTCAAATTTGGCCCCTCCTCCCCACAGTGCTTATATGCACACAGCAGGCAGCTGTACAGTTGTAGGTATGTTACATTTATTGTAATGGAAAGCAGATACTTTAGCAAGCTAACTAGGCTAACCGCCAGCGCATATCTGTCCAACAGAAAACAGGCCACCTCTACATCACTCTTTATCCTCTCCTTCGATGCTCGACAGCGACAGTAAAAGCCCACCGAGATTCACTCTCAAGCTTGTCGACTTGCCGTTTTGCCTCATTACATTTGCATTTTTTTCAGTACTGTGTCTGCTGTTTTTTTTAGCTTCCTCTTGGATGCATGCTGCTACTACCTGCTTGCTACTTTTTTGTGAAGTCCCAACCTCATCTGCACACTGTCGGTTTGGGTCTACACGCTCTCAAATGTCCCAACTACAGCCCTATATGCTTTTTATGAATGTTGACAAAACAAATACTGGTTCAAGTCTTAGTTTAAGATTCAAAGTAAGTCTCCTGCTCCATATGCCATATGGAAGTTATGGCTGAAATCAATATAAGAGCTGCGCTCTTTTGTATTATGCGGTTCTGATTTTTCTCTAAAACTGCAAATATTTAAAGATAACTTGAAAATGCTACATTTTAGATTCAGTTACTAAAGCAAAGTGACATTTTCCTATTTTAACACAATTTTAACACCATACTGTATGCAGTACTGACCCAACACTACCCAGCGGGCACAGGGTGTCAATATGACGGCAGAAGGAAGTCAGACTCTTGCATCAGACAGATGTTAAATTTGACTGGAATGAAAATCGGGTTGATGATATTTTGAATGTCAAATGACGTAAGATTTTCATGTTGTGTGTACGTAATGATTATGACATTTTGCAGACTTTGGGTTTTGGTACCTCATGACTAAATATCATAGTTCTACATCAAGATGACGTTGGCATGAGTCATTTGGAAGATGTTGGAATTTGCTTAACAGCACATCTTAAAACCAACAAAATATCAACATCATGTTTCATCAGTTCAAACTGACCTATGGCTAAGCCACGCCCCCCTCCACTCACCCGGACAAAATATCAACATTCAGTGACTGGCGCTATGGCAGGTGTCACAGTACACGGCATTTTGCAGGAAGCAATTGATGATTTTTCGAGACATAACAATCAGATGTCATTGAGAAGTAACCAAAAGGGCCTTAGTTTATCTCTTTTGTCACTCTATAAGTCAGAAAATAGTCTACACACAACAGTAATAGAGAAATCAGTTTTCACCATGTATTTAAGAATAAAATGTATATATCAGGCTGTGAATTATTTGTGAACAAGCCTTTGGAAACTGGAAATTTTGGTGCATCAAAGTGACACTGAAGTTAAGGGTTTTTGGCTCAGAATATGAGAAAAGGATAACGGCCTTTATACCATCTTTACCAAGAGTGTCTCTCCGTTAGTTTGGTGCTACAGTATTTACATTGAATCATTCATAACATTTGCCAACTTTGTTATCTCTGTGATTACAGATAAGTTAATGAAGCTAAGCTCCAGAAGTTAACGTTAGTTTAACTAGAGTCCTTTGGACAACAGCAAACAATGATGTATGATCACCAAAGTACAAAAACTAGAACAAAATAAGCTAATGAACTCCCAGCAAACAAGGTGACATGATGAACAACGCAGCTAGGAGCTAACGTCAGGCTAACTTTAGCTAACGTTAGCTAGAGATGTTAAAGATAACTTTATATTTCTTTCCAGCAAAGTGACAATATGTTGCCTCAAACACAATGTTGACTTACCTTAGAACAGATGTAGACATCCTCATTAATCTTATTCACGGTGAGTTGATTTTGTGGTCTACCGCACAACTTTATCCAAAGGAGACACTTTTCTCGGTTGAGATGTGGTTTAAAGGGTAAAAAATACACCCCGTCGCCCAGCCTCTCAGGATACCTTGTGTCAGAGTTGCATGTACCCCATGCACACCATTTGACCACTTTTAAACTTCAAATCTCAGAAGAAGCTCATAAAACTGAATGGAACTGACTTTTTGTAATGCATTTCAATGGACGTCCAGGCAGAGAATGTCGGAGTGTATGGGAATGGCTATACGCACTGTGGTTGGCTCATTGTGTTTGCGGACGGGGCTTAGCCATTGGTCAATTGACGATGGCATTAGGTGTTGTTCTGACATTGAATTCTGGTCGCTCAATGTCACAACCTAAATTCAACCAATAATCAACATCTAACATTATTGGTGGCCAGCCAGGGTATTTAAGACTGTAGAATGTCTAGCATCTAATTCAAGTCATTTTTAATTTACTTGATTAAGGACATTTTGTGGATAAAAAAAACATCACAATGGCATTAGGAATATATTATCCACGTTGTCTTCCATCTTGAGTGAGAGAACTGAAATGACCGCAAAGCTGTTCTCTGGTCTGCTTCTTGTCCCTCTCTGATGACCTCATCTTTCTGCCCTCTCTGCCCAGAGTGCCTACCGCATGTTTACGAGCAACACCTGCCTGAAGCACATGATCAGTAAGGTGCGTCGGGATGCTCATTACTTTGAGCGCTACCAGCACAACCGCGACCTCGTCACCTTCCTCAACATGTTCTCCAACAAGCAGCTGGAGCTTCCCCGCGGCTGGGAGATGAAGCATGACCACACTGGAAAGGTGTGTGAGTGTGTGTTTGTGGAAACCCTCAATTTTTGATTATTTACCTGGGATTACACTTGAGATTATGTGCATCAGATGATTGTAATCTCTGCCCAGCTGTCCAGTAGACTTTACCCTTTTATAATCCTTACTTTTAGTGTACTGCATGTAAAGATGTGTTTCTGTATGAACATATTGGGGTTCATCAATGCATGACCAGGGGTATTTACATCTTAATCCTCAGCCCTTCTTTGTGGATCACAACTGTCGCTCCACGACCTTCATCGACCCCCGGCTGCCCCTCCAGAGTTCTCGCTCCACTGGGCTGCTGGCCCACCGCCAGCACCTGAGCCGCCAGCGCAGCCACAGTGCTGGGGAGGTGAGAGACTAGCCGCCACTGCACCACTTGTCACCTGGAGTCAACTTAAGGCTAGGAGAGAGACACTGCAATGTTTATAGAGGCCAGTTTGAAGGAGAAAAATGCTTCGCTAGTTTCTGCATTGTGGGCATAGGCGGGGGAGTTATCCTGCTAGTCCCTGTGGTGGAGCCATCGAGCAAGGACATTAGTGCTACTTTCAATGCAAGATTTTTAAGACCTCAAATGTAGTTGCTTTTGACTAGTCTTTTGAGATACTGGAATGAGTGGAAATCCTCATAAACACACTGTATGTAAATATGATAAGGAAGAGAGACAGTTTCCTTCTGTCTTGTTGCCACTCATCTCTTCCAAAGCATCACTCAGTCAGTGTCAAATATAGTATTGATACTACAGTATGCTACCTATCAACACTAGGGGCCACAGTGAACATGAAAGATAGTTTTTGTTGCCTCTTAAGTCAATAGTACCTGCAGCATTATTGGGTTCACTTATCTGGTTAAGGTAATGGATTTTGGATAGGTCTCTTGTTAGGAAAAAACTGTGCATTGCATGCTAATGTAGCAGGGCATGTGTTTTAAAAATCATCCATGCTGATGCATTCAACTGCTTTTCGGAATATCTGATATCTGAGACTGCTGAAAAATAATATTTTTATTACAGGCAATCACAATTTTTTCTGTTTAGCAACACCCAGAAAGACCCATTTCTTGCTATGTTTGGCTTTTTGTGATACAAAGAGAATGCATTTTTATGCTTCTGCATCAGCAGAAGCCATGGCCAGAGGTATTAGGTTTTCCAGTTGTCCGTCCAGCTGTATGCCCATCTGTCCATCCTGTTCTTGTGAACGCAACATCTCAAGAATGCCTTGAGGAAATTTCTTAAAATTTGGCACAACCCTCCACTTGCACTCAAAGATGAACGGTTAAGATTTTGGTGGTTATAGCTCAAAGGTCAAAGGTCAGTGTGACCTCACAAAACATGTCCTTGGCCATAACTCAAGAATTCATATGCTAATAATGACAAAATTTCACACAAATGTCTAATAGGATAAAATGATGATTTATATCCAAAAGGTAAAAGGTCAGCTTCATTGTGACATCATAATGTTCTGCAAAAACACTTTTCTAGAAAACTCTCTATCTCAGGAGCAGAAGGGGAGGCATTTGGTCAGATACTGAATTGGTGACACTAATCTTTGAAACTGTGCTGATTGTATAGATCTTCTGTGCTGTCGGGGGGAAGATGTGTGTGAAGCATCCCTGTTTTAAAACAGTGGCTCCCAACTGGTCCAGCCAGGGAGTCCAGATTTCCCTTAGTCAGAAGTTCAAGGTCCACACAGGTTAATACATTCAGCATCATACTTGTGTTTGGCCATGTCATCGAGTTCATTTGCTGTCTCTGTCAAGAAGCTGTCCGTTAGGCACTCACTCTTCAAAATACAAGCTCTTTGTTGGAAATTTACTGTGCTTAAAAATAATGTGTGATATTTACAAACTTGACACAATTGCAAGTCATTAGTGGTCCATTCAGAATGGATCTGCTACCCACCAGTTGGGAACCACTGTTTTAGAATATGTAACTTATTTGCAGCAACATCCGTATTTGAAGCAATGTCTACTGTCATGGTTACAGCTTTGTGTTCTCTCCTGGTAGTCCACTACAAGCTCATTAGTCTTGCTTATATTGAGCTTCAGGTGATTGTTGATGCACCATGTAACAATAGTCTTTAACTGAACACAGCATTTTTCTCACTGGAAATTAATCCCTGGAATCATACCAATATAGATATGGCTTCTGTTTTGGGTCTGTTTTGCCTTTAATGACAGGATAGTTTTTGAAGTGTGAAAGGGGACAACGTGCAGCAAAGGGCCGTGGGCTGGAATCGAGCCCCCGTCGCTGCGGCAAGGACACTACCTTTGTACACGGGGCGCCTGCCCTACCTACTGAGCTACTGGGCGCCCCGTAACTTCCGTTTCTCCAAAAAATACATGTAATACCTTTTGTTAAATTGCTTTGAAGTCTTCACTACGTTATATGAGTCTAGGCAGACGTGGATGAATACCTGTTTCAAACAAGTTTAAGTCTCTGCAAGTCATAAACTGACACAAATGGCAGCTTGGAAATCTTTGGAAAATGGTTGGCAGAAACATAGGTAAGAGTTTTGTGGTTAATTCGCGAGAACATGCAGAACTGATAGGTATCCAGCTGGAGTTGAGGTCAGTGTTGGCTGAAGACTGGCGGGTGGATCGGCCTCAGAACTAGGATGCGACCTGAACTATAGTGCTTCCTTTTGTCACAGGTGGTGGATGACTCTCGCCAAACCAACCCACCCGTCATGCCCCGACCATCCAGCACCTTCAGCGGCTCCAGTCGGAGTCAGTACCATGACGTGGTACCTGTGGGTAAGTCAGACAGAATCACATGTATGCAATCATTAAGTGTAAACACACACAAGACTCAAATATAGATGCGCATTTCTCATTTCCTCCAGCCTACAATGACAAGATAGTGGCGTTTCTACGGCAACCCAACATCGTCGAGATCCTGCAGGAAAGACAACCCGAGCTTGCCAGGAATCACTCGCTAAAGTATGTCCCTCACTCTGTCTGTTTTCGGCTCCATTCTTCCTCCTGTCTTTGTCTCATTGTTTCCTTTTGTCTCTCCCTCTCTCTCTTTCTCTCTAGCCTTACTCACACCCAACACCTCCATTATCATCAGTCAAACTGAGCACACAGTTAACCTTTAATCCTAATGGACTGTGTCAGTTTACCCCCTGACGTGTGTGTGTGTGTGTGTGTGTGTGTGTGCAGGGAGAAGGTCCAGTTTATTCGCAGTGAAGGAGTCACTGGGCTGGCTCGCCTCTCTAGCGATGCTGACCTCGTCATGCTGCTTAGGTGAGTGCAGTACATGTGCGTTTGTGTGTTCAGGTGAGGGACTGATCATCTGTCACTTGTGAAAACTATAACCAGCTTGCTCCAGCACTTCTAAAAATACAAGTCTACTTCCCATTTTACCCACTGCTGATGCTACACCGTTCTTAGATCTGTGTGTACTTATGTCTTGTCTCCAGCTTATTTGAGGAGGAGGTGATGTCATATGTACCACCGTTACTCCACCCAAGTTACTGCCTCTCGTCTCCTCAGAGCTCCCCTGGTGAGTGTCTGTCTCACTCTGTCTGCATCAAGTTTATTGGCATGATATGCCTTTTTAATAAGTTCTTTCTTTTTATTACATTTCACACCTTCCACCATGAGGTTTGGTTTACATTGTCTTACTAAATAAAAGAAACAATTTCATAGTACCTTCATACAGTATATAACATTGGTTGTATAACACATATAACACTTATACCCCTTTTCCACTAAAATTAGCACGTTTTTAAACACAGATAAACCTGCTAAAAATAGTCTAAAAACTTCTTTCCCATTGCCAATAGACCAGCACTGTGTACATGGCTCTGCAGCAGATCAGTATTCCTTTCTGCGTGTGGAAAGTAAACAGTAGAGAGGAGCATGGAGGCCAGCGAAAACGTTAGCGGTTGCTTCTGTTTATATATCTCTTACTAAGTCAGTCGCTTTCAAACTCAGTGCAGACTAATTTGGATCAGTCTTTGAGCACTGTTTGGGCAGTTTTTTCTGGTGGAGAGGTGCCGGTAGAGGAGCTAAATTTAGCACGTTCACCCAGGTGTTGTGTTGCTGATCAGAAACGGAGGCAATATATACCCGTGACTGCTGCAGAGTCATTTGACCTGGGTGTGAATGCCGAATGCCTTTTCCAGTTGCATTAAAAAGCCAGATATTAGCGGATGTTAGCAGGTTTTTTGGGCAGTGGTAAAAGGGGCTTTAGTTTTCTGTCCTTTATTCTCCTCATGTCCTCAAATGACAATATACTATATATTTTTTATAATCAAAAATAATAATTTACATAATAGTCTCCACAATAAAATTTGTGTTTTTATGCCTCCATGTCAGTGATAGTCGTGGCCAGAATCATTCTGTTTTTGGCTTGTCTGTCCGTTTGTCTCTTTGTCTGTATGTCTGTCCCATTCTTTTGATTGTGATATGTCCACAGCACCTAAAGAGAATTTCTTAAAATTTGGCACAAATTATCCCCTTAGACTCAACGATGAGCTGATTCGATTTTGATGGTCAAAGATCATGTCACTGTGACTTCGTCCATCGCATTCTCGTGAATGCGATAGCTCGAGAACACCTTGAGGAAATTCCCCAAATTTGGCACAAATGTCCAAGAATTTTAGAATTAGAATTTTATATCAAAAGGTCAAAGGTCAACTTCACTGTGACATTATAATATTATGAAAAGGCCTATAAGCCTTTTTGGTTTCCAACCGTTCCTGTACAGTGTTTTAAAAGCACTTTTCTGGCCATTACTTAACGTCATATCTCAAGAACAGAGGAGGAGACATTTGGTCAGATACTGAATTGGTGACACTAATCTTGGGTACCCATGGTGAAACTGAGCTGATTGTATAGATCTTCTGTCCTACCAGCAAGGAAGATGCATGTGAAGCATCCATGTTGTCACAGACATGGATGTAAACTGTAACTGCAACTTGACTGGTTTGTGGAGGCATATAAACATGAAGCAGTAATTCTAGTTTGACAAATTGTAGTGTTAAACTTGTGTTTGATGTTATGATAATTATGGCTGGTATGGCTGAAAATGTATCTGAAAATTGAACACATATAATCACAAATCTGAAACTTTATTTACAAAACCATAGACTGTATATGTATCCTTAAAAACAGTCTTTGTACAAAACATTTTACAAATGTCACATCTTGAGTTGAGTATAGAGAGCACCAAAATTATCTCCCTAGTACTATCAAGTAAATTAAATGTAATTTATGATTGTAATACATGAAAGAAGGAATAAAGCAAACTAACTGATGAATCAATGATCAAATATACAACAGATATTACAATATTTGCTACTCAGTGTTGAATGACCATCTATTGAATTACTAAAATAACCCTCAACAAGTTGGCCTTATATAAAATATGTGTAGCCATATATTTTTTCAACATAATTAAAATCAATAAAGTGGCGTCGATGTGTGTGTAAGTAGTTGACACATACACAAACTCACACTTCCTCTCTCCAGCTGATGTCAGTGTTTATCTACAAGTGTCTGTCTTTCTGTACAATCTCCACACCTCTCCACACTGAGCCTACCTCTAATCTTTAACTGTTCAACAAAAACACAGACAGTTGAAGAGGTGCATCTGTGTGTATTGTGCATCTCTCAAATTAATGTCAGCTACAACAGCCTGATACAAAATAACAATCCAGGATTAACCTGCATACAGCACTTCCGATTCCCAGATTTCAATTCCTCCTCCTCACCCATGCAGTCTAAAACCAATTTCCGCTTTGGATCATTTAAATTTCATTTGATCTCAGTCTCCCTGTATCTGTTTCCCACTTTTTACCCATCTCTTTGTCTGTTTATAAGTCTGTTGTTGTTGTGCTTGATGCCTGACTTACATCGTCCATTTTCTCTGTCTTTTTCTCCCTTATTTCTCTCTGTCATTTATATGTCAGGCACCCAGCGAGCTAATGCGCGTGCTCCAGCTCCATATAAGAGAGATTTTGAAGCTAAACTGAGGAACTTCTATCGAAAGCTGGAAACCAAGGGTTATGGACAGGGACCAGGAAAAGTCAAGTAGGTGTACACCCTACAATTCAAGAGGATTTGTATATGGATTGTCTAATTTAGTACTGATTTGTATAACTGTATGAACATAGTGAAAAGATAAGGGTGGGACTTAGCAAGGGCCATTCTCGGAACCCATCGGCCATATTCAGCGCCTGACTTCCGGCAGATGGCAATACAGCCTCTGGGGGCAGACCCCTGATTTTTTGGCATTCCGGTTTGATTTGGGTGGAGGACGCCAATTATGTTCCGCCTCGTTAGTTCACCGCACAGACCGTTTAACCTGGCAACAACTGCAGCCGGCTCAAACGTGATTGATCAATATCACATGGACTACAAACAGCCAACAACCGGAAACCAGGGCTCTTTCACCCTTCTTCCGGAGGCAAGATCTCCGGGGTTTGCCTACAGACTCTACATTCAGTGAATGTAGAGTCTGTATATAGAGACTAAGCAAGGGCTAATTGGGAAAGTATTGTTAGATGGACTATGGCATATTTAGCTTGGCTGTATTATGGGGTTGTGGCCAATAACTAGTCTTACTCATGTAGATTGTGGGTATCAGTCTGCCATTAATCGCTTTTTTCAGATGGAACTCTCCTCCCCTCCCACTATCTCTCAACACTATTTTGCAAGGGCACCATTGATGCATCCTGGGCTTAGTGCTGCATAAGACGATTGGGATTGCTCTAAAGAAATACAAACAACGATTTTCCTTAGTGTGCAATTATGATGGATTCAGACAGACTTTTCTCCAGTGCTGGCACAGCACTAAAACGAAGTGTGGAGCTAGGTCTTGATATGCGAGACTACTAGTCAGTGACATACCCTCTTTGGCCTTATAGTAGAAGTCTTAAGAATAAAATATGTATTTAATCAATTATGAACACTGTGTTGATACAAAGTGAAATATTAACATGATCACCATTGTTCATGTCAAGTCTAATACTGCGGGATCTGTGTGTGTGTTTGTGTGTGTGTGCTCCCAGGCTCATCATACGCAGGGACCACCTCCTGGAGGACGCCTTTAACCAAATCATGTGTTACTCCCGGAAAGACCTACAGCGGAGTAAACTTTATGTCAGCTTTGTGGGAGAGGATGGGTGAGAGAGACGCGTTTCATTCCCAATTAATTTCCTTATCAGTGCGAGTGTTAAGTGAGGGTATTTGTTAACTGTAATTGATCCAGGGGTGTTTTGATGAGCATTCATTCTCATCTTAAGTTTCAACATGTACAATTACACACACATCTGATAACATCCCAGTAAAGCCACAGTCGTCTGGTGAATGAGCAGCTGGAGCAAGTGGGTGGGAAAGGAACTGCATGAAATATTTTAACATTGACTGTAAACAGAAGCTCATTACAGAGATGACTGACAGCATCTACACTGTGTTTCTGAATGACTGTTGATAATACATGCTTTCTTATCAGTTCTTGTAATATCTGTTAATTATTGTATATTTTTCTTGAAAATGCACAAGGGCCAATGATTGTGGGGGTTTATCTTTGCTGAAATAACCACTTCTCTAGATTTCACTCAGACTTTTGTCGACACCAGTATTTGCAGAACAAGACAACATATATAGACAAAAACATACAGGTATTTATGTTAATGTGTCATGATTGCAGGCTGGACTACAGCGGACCCTCCAGAGAGTTTTTCTTCCTGGTGTCCAGAGAACTGTTTAACCCGTACTACGGCCTGTTTGAATACTCAGCCAATGACACATACACTGTCCAGATCAGCCCCATGTCTGCCTTTGTAGACAACCACCATGAATGGTGAGGTTTCAATATGTATATGTATATACAGTATCTATCAATCTGTCTGTCTAATGTATGTTTGTGGGAGGTAGTGTGCTGCTGTGCTGACTGTAAAGTGTTCATCTTGTCTGCTCTGACTGCTGCGTGCTGCTCCCAAAATAGAAGTCATTTGCGGGGTGCTGTGTGGAAATTTGGATCAGCAATTTGTGGCTCACCAGCCAATTTTGCCTCAGTGACAGTGATTGAATAGACAAATGGATGGATGGATGGATTGATGGATCATCACATGATGGATGGAAGGGCAGACAACTCGACAGGGCTATCATAATATGATAGGCTGGATGAAGAAGATTGCAGATGTAGCAACATAAGTCCTCAGGGATTTGTTTGTCACGCTGGACAAGCCTCGTGGCTTATCACTTATCAACTTGAAGAATGTCAAGTCAATACTTTTGTGCTTGTCAAGACAATCTGTCTGACGTTAGAAAAGTTCTCAAGACAGAAAGGGTAGAGAAACATGTTCCCTCCTCGTTCAGTTGGTCTCTGTACGATAGACTTCAGCACTGTTCTGACTCAATGCATTATGATCACAGTAAATCTTGAGGGGTTTTATTTATTGTTGTAAACAATGTCACCATCTGCTGCATTCTCAGTTGAAAAATGAACTTCAAATTTCTCTTAAGCCTGTTAAATACTACATGAAACACTCCATGGAAGAAACAAGCCAAATAACTTCCACAGTGTTTATACATCAGCAGAAAGAAGATTTAAAACCAATCTGCTATGTTAAGATCTTTCTGTCAACATCTGAAAGAGTAAACCCGCTCCATCTGGTACTCAGAGCAGGCTACACCAAACACTTGTGAAAAATTGTTTGAAAAAACTGTTCATTCCAGTTCTGATGCTGATGCTTGTATTTACATGTTTTTTCTTCTATTGTGTCTAGGTTTCGCTTCAGTGGGCGTATCCTAGGCCTGGCCCTCGTCCATCAGTATCTGCTGGATGCCTTCTTTACCCGACCCTTCTACAAGGGGCTTCTTCGCATGTAAGTCCCTCAGCCTGCTTCCTCTGACTTCCCATTTCACACCAGCCTGCAGGGCACCAGCATTTCAAATCAGATCCCCTTCACTAACGCTGTAAGACCGTGCTGAGAATCTAAGTATTTCAGTCAGATCCTCTCAGCCAGCAGCTGGCAGTGGGAGCAGCATCCTTATTAATAGCTTTGTCCAAACAGCCTCAAACCCTGCCAAATGTCTGCACTAAGGACAGATGTTTATGTCATTATAAGGGTTCTTCACCTCTTCAGCAACATGGATCCTTTTTTGTGTTTTAAATTCTAATGAAAATTACATACAGTAACCTCTAATGGCATCAAATATTTGATGCATTATGGGGAAATGTGCAGAAAGTAATGTATGAGATATCTTGAATTTTTTCAATTGCTGTAATGATATAATATATATATTTTTTTTTATCATATAATAATGTGACCATGTGACTTATCATCATCCAACAGTAAACATGGAAAATATATATATATATATATATATATTAATAAAAACAAAAAACATCCAAGTACCACCAGCATGCCAGTTGGTTATTATTATTCTGAAGGTATCAATATACTGTATGGCATGCCAAGCTAAAACTTGGTGACACTGACGATGCAATAAGCCTGTGAATTAATGCAATGAAAACCAAAAATTCAGGGGGTTAAAAAGTACATTTAGAAGAGTGTTTGGGAAGTTAAAGGTAAAAGTCAAGACCAAGATGCTCAGAGTGTTACCTTTATATAACATGTATTAGTATAAAGATCCTGTAGGTTTGTTTTGCCCTCTACTTTTATTTATTACCTTTGGGTCTTGGTAAGCATCTCACATCCCTCATAACTGAGCTGGTACATCTCGAGGGGTTTATCCTGATACATAATAAATTTGAGCAAACATATTTTCCTGCCATGCACCATGCTGTGTGTACATTTTACTACCTTTGGGGAAAGCTGTCTTATGCTGTTGTACATCAAGTAATTAACCTTTAACCTCCCTTCTTACAATCAGCCATAGTTTATGGGTAGGACAATGCATCAATACCTTATTGACCTCTCTGTTAGCTCTGTGTAACCTCTGCCTGCCATCATGCAGCCCATGTGACCTCAGTGACCTGGAGTTCCTGGATGAGGAGTTCCACCAAAGCCTGCAGTGGATGAAAGACAATGACATTGAAGACATGCTGGACCTCACCTTCACTGTCAATGAGGAGGTCTTTGGACAGGTGTGTGTGTGTGTGTGTGTGTGTGTGTGTACTTCCTGCATTTGTTAAATCTGTGACTGCAGCCTGGTAAAAATACATCAGTGTGTAACTTTGAAGTGTCCACATCTGCATGTGATTCTGCAGATTACAGAGAGAGAGCTGAAGCCAGGCGGGGCTGGTATCCCTGTGTCAGAGAAGAACAAAAAGGAGTATATTGAGCGTATGGTCAAGTGGCGTATAGAGCGAGGAGTGGCCCAGCAGACGGAGAGCCTGGTCCGAGGCTTTTATGAGGTACAGCACTTAATATCAGTGTTATAGATATTAATGAGGCTTTCTAATGAAATGGCAATCAGTAAGTCTTTCTTCTTTATAGCTCATAGAAGCTATAATACACTCTATGACAGGGATTTTGATCAATACCAGTGACTCAGTGTGGTTACGTCATTGCATCAGGTGCTAAGAATTCTTTTTTTTTTTTTTTTTTGGAGCAGTATAAACTCAAGAACTCAGAGCATTCTTCCACCCACCCTCCTACTGACATCTGACATTTTCACTGTTGGATGACGATGCGTTGAGCAAGTAACTGATGTAACAATACAATCCAACTACAAATGCTAAAAATAGTTTTGATCAAGCTAAAAGATGCAGCTAAAATGACAAAGCATCAGTACATTTCACTTAACTACATCCTGACATACTAGCTCTCCATCAGACATGTTTGCTCTAGATCAGGGGCCAGAACTGGCCCATCAAAGGGTCCAATCCGGCCCTCTAGATGACTTTGCACACCTAATGCTGATGCACATGTGGAGGCTGAGAGGTTTCAGGAGCAATTTAAACAGTGAGCAGATAGCTCATGTAAAATACCTATCACCATGGAAATGTAGCATACCTATCACAATGGAAGTGTAGCATCCCTTTCATCATGGAAATGTAGCATACCTATCACTATAGACATGTAGCATACCTATCACCATGGAAATGTAGCATACCTATCACTATAGACATGTAGCATACCCATCACCATGGAAATGTAGCATACCTTTCACTGTAGAAGTGTAGCATACCAATCATCATGGAAATGCAGCATACCTATAACTGCAGAAAGGTAGCATACCTATCACCATGGAAATGTAGCATGCCTTTCACTGTAGACATGTAGCATACCTATAACTGCAGAAAGGTAGCATACCTATCACCATGGAAATCTAGCATGCCTTTCACTGTAGACATGTAGCTTACCTATAACTGCAGAAAGGTAGCATACCTATCACCATGGAAATGTAGCATGCCTTTCACTGTAGACATGTAGCATACCTATAATTGCAGAAATGTAGCATACCTATCACTGTTGACGTGTAGCATACCTATCACCATTGAAATGTAGCATACCTATAATTGCAGAAATGTAGCATACCTATCACTGTTGACGTGTAGCATACCTATCACCATGGAAATGTAGCATACCTATAATTGCAGAAATGTAGCATACCTATCACAATGGAAGTGTAGCATCCTTTTCACCATGGAAATGTAGCATGCCTTTCACTATTGACGTGTAGCATACCTATCACCATGGAAATGTAGCATACCTTTCATTGTAGACATGTAGCATACCTATCACAATGGAAGAGTAACATCCCTTTCACCATAGAAATGTAGCATACCTATCACCATGGAAATGTAGCATACCTATCACTATAGACATGTAGCATACCTATCACCATGGAAATGTAGCATACCTATCACGATGGAAATGTAGCATACCTATCACTATAGAAATGTAGCATACCTGTCACTGTAGACATGTAGCATACCCATCACCATGGAAATGTAGCATACCTTTCACTGTAGAAGTGTAGCATACCTATCATCATGGAAATGTAGCATACCTTTCACTGTAGAAGTGTAGCATACCTATCATCATGGAAATGTAGCATACCTATAACTGCAGAAAGGTAGCATACGTATCACCATGGAAATGTAGCATCCCATTCACCATGGAAATGTAGCATACCTATAACTCCAGAAAGGTAGCATACAGTACCTATCACCATGGAAATGTAGCATCCCTTTCACCATGGAAATGCAGCATACTATAAACATGTAGCATACCTATCATCATGGAAACACAGCAAACCTACCACCATGGAAATTAATTTGATATATAAACAGATATAATAGGTTACTCTTCATACTTGTTCCATGCCTGCTGTAACTCCAGATTGTACACATGGTTACTTATATAACAGAGACAATGTTAAGATTTTGTGCACTACGTAGTTTGGATGTGAATCCAAGGGCACATTCCTAAGAGAGGACAGACAGTTCAAACTTTGAGAAATGATGGTTAGTTTAGAACTGTAAGAAGATGAATGTTGATATTTGATAGCTCACAATCCAACACGCTGTGGAAGCTCAGCTTGACTAAGTGAACTAAGAGTGGACTGTAATCTGGACTGGTGCTCAAATTCTGCTTTTTCTCATGTGTTTTCATAACTGGTACAAACCCAACCCCTGCTAAAGTCCGTTCCCTGGCAGGATGACAAATTACCGGGTCTTTGTGGGCTGCATGTGTGTCAATATGAGTTTACAGGCCTCGCTTTGCTAAACAAATCAAATCCAACATTTGCAGTAAACAAACTGGTGGAAACTTTTCCCAGTAGTGTTTATTCTACTGCCATCTGTGCCACTGTGTATCTCAACAATAAGGATCTATTGAAACTGCCTTTTCTCAATGCTCTGAAATACCTCAAACAATGATGTATGTGGCAAGCCTGTAATAAATGATCAGGTTTTACCATATGTTATACCATGTGTTGATCTGTGTGTGTGTGTGTGTGTGTGTGTGTGTTTTAGGTGGTGGATGTGCGACTGGTGTCAGTGTTTGATGCGAGGGAGCTGGAGCTGGTGATTGCAGGCACTGCAGAGATCGACCTGGCAGACTGGAGAAACAACACAGAGTACAGAGGAGGTATGTAAAGCTGGGGGGCAGCGGTGAGGCAACAGAGCAGAGGTGTAGATGAAAGTGTTAATGGCACACTCACAGCAATGTCAGAAAACTAGAAAGGTCAAATGCATACACTGGCTCATTTTCAAGTGACATATTTATCTACAACTTGGAGCTACAAGCACGCAACCACTAACCCTATGGTTTGAGCGGTGGGGGATTAGTAGGTGCCTTGTGTTAGAGTGCCTCTGTACAGAGGTGGGTTCAAGTATTTGTCGTTTACTTTTTCTTAGCCAGTAGAGGGATGAAACCCAGAAATCTGATCCTGATAGGGAGGTGTAGGAAAAAATGAAATGAGATTGGAAGTAACCAATTTCACATCGGCTTATAAAACTTAAACCCCCAATTTCCATACATGCTGGGTCCATTGTGACTGTGATCCACTGCAATTCGAAAGGCAATTTGCCAATGTCCACTGGATGGGAGAGCACTTAAGACCTCATAAGATCTTATTAAGGCCTAGATGCACCAAACTGACATCAAAGAACTAGTGGTGACACAAGCCGACTATCATGTCGCCTCACATTGCAGTGCCAAAAAGTTGTGCAAGAACACACTGCAAAGACTCTGTATTTGTTATTCGAAAAGGTAAACTGGAAGACTGTCATGATGCTAGTTAGCCAGCTAGCACATTAGAAACACAATCTGATGTTGAAAGAACAAAGCATATTTACTGTGTGCAAGCAAACAGTAACACAAACAATTACAAGCCTTTTCTGTTAAAGAGCTCAGTAGCTAAAGAGAATATTCTTACCTAATATAACAGGTTTGTTTTGATCTCACTCCCTCTTGACTATAGTCATTTCATTGCTTTCCTCACTTTGTTTCTCTTCTTGTGTGCTGAGCTTAACATCCAGTCAGTGTGATTTCAATCACTGATGGGCTCCGCTGTATCTGATGCCGATTCAATATGCTGAATCGGCCCAAAGAAAGCCAACAAAGGCTGACAAGAGCCAAGGATGCGGGACACACTGCAAAAACTATGGTGACAGAAGCTCACTGCCCAACATTGACCAGTGGCTGACTGTCAGTTTGGTGTGTCTGGACCTTTAAACGCTGGCCATCAGGATACCCTGCAAAACAACTTTTGTTGTGTTTCCTGTGATTCAGAAGAAAGAATGCAAGGGTTTTCCCTAACCACCATGCTGGCTGTGTTTACAACGTAGGACTGTTAGGGCGGGTGTAAATCGAAACAAACCAATCACGTCTTGTCTTTTGACAAGTGGCTCAACCTCACACACCTCATCCCTCTCCTCGCATCACTGTGCCGCTAACAGCTAACTGTTGAAAAATTGTTAGCGCTGTTAGCTGTGATTGCATTACCTTTCTCCTTCAGCAGCTCTCTCCACCTGGGAAAGGCTACCCTGATGTTGACCCTTGTTTTATGAATTTGCTGGTCACCTTGCCTTTTTCATTCCCTTTTGCGCTTTCTTGGCGACGAGGATTCCGTCTTCTGTGATGCTGCATATGCATGATCCTGCGTTATGCTCAAAGAGTGGGACTTTGTTATGCTGCAGTAGTGCCAGGGTAGTAGCGAAGCGCTTCTTGCTCCTCTCCTTCGGCTTCTCAGTCATGCAGCGCTGGCCTGGCTCTCAACGAAAACGCCGAAGGTGGTGAAACGTTATGGAACCCCCCAGACAACTTACCTGCACAATGTACAAACAAATCTGAAATTCTCCTTTTACGAGAATAAGTCAGATTATTGGTGGAGGTAATAATACACCAATGGTGACATATTTATGAATGCAGACATTGATTTTTGCCAATAAACAACTGAAAATGCTACACAATGTCCCTTTAAGCTAACATATTTATTTAGGAAATACAGCTAAAAATGAAAGTGTGCTGTTGACAGTAGTCAGCAAAGACAGCCCCAAAGGATCTGTTACCAAAATCATCAAAAATGAGCTGCAAATGTTTATTCAGTATGCTTTCAAAACAACAGAAAAGTCACTAAAACAACTCTAAACAATATAAGAAATGTGGCTGCTGAAGAAAAGGTGGACCCCTTCTGAAATGCTTCTTAATTTAAACTGCGACAGAGGCATCATGTTGTGGCTGTGCCAGGACACAATGTAGCTGCACCCATCAAATGGACATGAGGGGTAACTTACTACAGCATATCTGCAGCATATAGTCCTAAATGTGTTTTGATTTTTATTGTCTGATCGGGGAAAGATTATCAAATAGTTATAGTTATATTTTTAATTTAAATATCAGGAAGGGATCAACCTTTACCTGGATTTTAAAACTGAAATCAGTCAATTCAAGTCTATTTTCTATTAACTGATCCAAAAAGGTAACATTATGTATTACACTCTGTAATTATTGCTGTTATCATTTTTAACTACTTGTGATATGATAAATAGTGATTCATTAGTTTGAGAAACAATTTCATTACCTATTTAACATCTGTATCAGGTTTTACTGTAATGTACTGTATAATGAGCACTTGAAACTTTGGGGAGTTATTGCTATTTAATTATTGTAATGCATATTGTGTACTGTACAAGTATGCAAGCGCCAGTGTCCAAACCATTTATGAGAGATCACATTAAAAGGCTTTTTAAGGGTCTGGCCAATACAGTTGAAAAGCCGCCAGCAGCAGGGAGACAAGAGAACTCAAACCGACAGTCGGCCATGACTCAGTGTGAGGCTCTTTTAATAGAAGAATCGACTGAGACGGACAAAACAGCTCCGCCATTAAACATTAAACAGCAGAGCCCATTCAAAAATCACAGATTTTGAGATGGAAGGAGCAAGGGGGTGAGGAACGGGGGACAGAGGCCTTATTTGTTATTCATCCGACTCATGCACCATCATCATCTATCTCCCTCCAGGTTACCATGACAACCACATAGTGATTCGCTGGTTCTGGGCAGCTGTGGAGAGGTTCAACAATGAGCAGAGGCTGAGACTGCTGCAGGTATTGCACGTTGGTGACCACATGCACACAGGCTGCCCCCATGTGGAGGCTGGGTGCCCTGCAGGTGCTGCAGAGTCGTGTTTATCACAAAGCACAGATACACACCAGTGTATGGCGGTGGTTTACCTTTTAGCTTGCTAATGTGCTTGAGGCTGGAGAGGAATGTCATTTTAATCTCTCCTATATATTACTAGATTATACAATTTGCATTTAATTTTCTGTTTTCACTATTGAAATATTCTCAGATTACTTGTTTAAATTCATATTGAATATATGCAACTGAGAAAGGGTGAGGGAGCTTTGGTGAAGGCATGTGGCCTTGTGCTTACCTAGCACTGTCATACCTTGACAGTAAAAATCATGGGAGCAAGGTGTGGGAAGTCATGAATAATAACAATGTTTCAGGGTGCTGCTTTTATACTTTGTGTGACTTGTGTGGCCTTCTTCTTTCCAGTTTGTGACAGGCACCTCCAGTATTCCTTATGAGGGATTTGCCTCTCTTCGGGGCAGTAATGGACCCCGCAGATTCTGTGTTGAGAAGTGGGGGAAAATCACCTCCTTACCCAGGTAGGATGTCTAAAGGGATAACTATGTAGCCTTAAATGCACAAAAGGGATTCACTTTTTTTTTTTTTGTTTTAATACCTTTAATTTTTTGTATTAGTCTCCCCTTGCTAAATTAAATATTGATTATTACACAAGATCAGTGGTGGGTAGAGCACTGAAAATGTATACTCAAGTATAGGCAGTAGTGTAATGTAACTAAGTAATAATGCTTCGTTACAGTACTTAAGTATTTTCTTGGAGTATCTTTACTTGATATTTTATATTTCTGTCAATTTCTTTCACTTTTATTCCACTATATTTACTAATAAAATGTATACTTTTATTTAGATACGTTTCCCCTAAGCATCTTCATTACAACAAAATAGGGAAGGAAGGGAGGAAGAAAGGGACGGACAAATGCAGAAACAGGAGGAAAATAAAAACTGAATTTATTTTGTTAAATTCTTTAAGTTGTGACAATGACCTCTTTTTTCTTCAAGTGTAATGTGGGCTGCAATTTTAAGGTGGCACTAGCTTTTTTTTTAATTAGCAACATTTAGTACAGTACATGTCACAGTTAATATCAGATACTTTAAGACTTTTACTCAAATAATATACTAATAGGTGATTTAAACTTCTACCAAAGTTATTTTCTGGTAAGATTTCTGTACTTTGACTCAAGTGTGGCTTTCAGGTAATTCATCCACCACTGAGTAATAGTACAGTTACTACCATGATCAATGCCTCAAGGAAAAGTGAAAATCACCATTTAATAAACCTACTCAAATAAAAGTAAATTCATTTACATTCAAATCAAAAAAGCAAAACAAATTAGACCTTACATTATCTCCTTATACATCTATCTGATAATGTTTTGTTTGTGTGTGTGTGTGTGTGTGTGTGTGTCTCCACAGGGCTCACACTTGCTTTAATCGCCTGGACCTCCCACCCTACCCCTCCTTCTCCATGCTCTACGAGAAGCTGGTCACTGCTGTAGAGGAAACGAGCACGTTTGGCTTGGAGTAACCTCATATCAGCTCACGCCCGGGTTTAACTTGGGAGAGAATCACCTGGAAATCCACCCTTCTCACTTTGGAGAGACATGGAAACTAAAACTAATATCCTCAAATGGCAACTAACCCTCCCAGTGGACAACTCTGCTGTTTTTTCCAACTGGCTTCTCTTCACCCAGCACGCACGCTTCGTTCCGATTCTCTGCCTTTCTTTCATATATTTAATAGAAGTCAATCAAGTGAACACCTTCTGGAAGAAAGGCCGAGAATCGGAGAACGGTTTAAAAAACTGAATAGTACAATTTCTTTTTCAGTTTTCATGGTAACATTTGTTCGTTGAGCCACATGTGTGCTTTATCTCTTCAGTTGATGGCCTTCTTTACTGGATTTCTAGCACCTCCCCTTCTCCTACTCCTCTTCCTCCAACCTGCACCTCAGAGACAGCTGCTCAGAAACCACTAAGCTCCCTTCTCCCTCTCTGGACCTCTAAACTGTGTCCTTTCTGTACTGGGGCTGCAACGTTATGAACTATAATACACACACACACACACACACACACACACACTTATCACCTTTGCACAAGACACACAAACATGGAACACTTTGTTTTTATTGATGGTGCAAACCAGTGTTTCCCCCCAAGATTTTTTATCAGCATGGAAAGATGTGACATTTTAGGCTTAGAAATGGATGTTGGCTGGTCCTCCTGTCTGTTAGAGAGCAGGGGGAACACTAGTGTGCACAAATACACACACAAACAGATACACAAATTGCATAGAACCAGTTGTTCTAAGATTCAAATTACACTTGTTTTCACATTCTTGATTCCTGAATAAGGTGGACAGTGACTCACAAATCATCAGTGACACTAATGGACATTGACTCGTTGTGATACTGACGGCAGGTTCTTGTCAGGACTGTTAGCTTCAAAACTGCAGTCAGAGCTCTTACAGGGGCAAGAAAGGTAAATACTCATCTGAGACATACAAACACATGCATAAAGTGTGACAGCCTTGATGCTGTGGGTGCACTCTCTTACAGTGCAACAGATGCACTCACTCCACAATACAGATACATTTACTGATACACTTCAGTCAGATAGAAGTGCAGGGCTCCTCTCTGTCAAACAGTTCCACACATTTATCATGAGCAGTAGGTGCACTTTCTCACACAGACAGATGACATCTACACACCAGGTCCTCCTCACTGATGTAATCCCCTCCCACCTATGAAAGTGATGAATGTACCAAATAAGTGACTGAATGTATGAACCTCAAGCGACTCTGTTCGGCCCCCTGAGGAAGATTTCACACAGGCCGAAGAGTATACACAAAGTGGAGGGAAAGGAAATCAAACGAGACATGGTTGCCTGAGGGATGAGAACGCACTTCACTCGATTTTGGCACAGGATTCAACCTTGTGAGCTGAAAGACACTAGCCTGGTGTCCCCCGGGTACCTGGTCAGGGTTCAGTGGTGGGATCTTTTTAGTGCCTCTTGGGTTTTCCTGACCATCAAGTGAAATTTAATAGGATATGTTATTTTATTTTCTTGTAAAAAAAAAAGAAAAAAAGACCAGATCAAAGATGGTGAAACTTAAGGAATTGTGGTTTAAATTCACAAAACAGATATCAACACAAGGGGGCAGTAAGATGTCTTGTCATTATCATGGGTCCTCTAAGAAGAGAACCAGTGATTTCCTCCTTTCTGAATGACCAAACCAGATGTGACGATAATGTTGTCAGGAACAAGCACCAGCCCTTAGGGCTGTACAGATACTATACTTTAGAATTTTTAGCATACAAGTCCATGCCAGGCAATAGTTTTGTCTTAAAAGCATGTGATAAAACATTTCTCTAAGTGCACGACCCAAACCCTGAGGACCCTGTCACTCACACACTTTCTTACATGCACACAAAAACACACACACCTTCTCATTTTTTATGGGGTGCATGCAAGATTACACCTACTGTACAGAGTCCTGTTGGAGTTACACCACAGGGGCTGGAATAGTGCTAGACAGCCCCACATGTGATGTGAAATGTGGAGGCAGACTTTCATATCCCAGCCCCCTCCCCCCCTACTGGTCCAACACTGCATGCGGGATCTTCCAGGTCAGCTCTGTGAGCTGTGCCGGGGTTGAAACCCCTAGATGGCGTTGTGTTATAGCTCGATATTGCATGCTGAAATAGTGCAACACACTGTCCTTACTAGCTTTTTTGCATGAGGATATTGCTATCCATTCAGAAAAAGGGGTGAGGGAGCTGGTTAAGTTTTGTCACTTTGGTTGTGGCGCTCATTTGGGGCATGCAGCCTTATGCTTACCTGGCACTGTCATACCTGGAGTGTTAATCTTGTGGGAACAAGGTGTGGGAAACAAATGCTTTAGTCACTTAGTTTTAGCACTGGGAATGGACAATGTGTGAATGCAGGGGTTTGTTTTCTCTGTGACAGTGTAAGGGCGAGTATCTTGGCAGCATGTTTCAAAAATGTTGTTACTTTCACATGTGCGTGTCTGCCTATCTTAGTAATAGGTTGATGGTTATGGTTCATTGCTCATGAAACAGTGATGAATCAATAGGGCTGTTTTGATTTTGTGAAACGTGAGAGCACATGTATGTGTACCATGTGTGCAGTCCTGTTTGTCTCTTTGTATATAGATGTATATGTATGTCTGTCCTGTTGTGTGTATAAATATATATTTTGCACCGAATGTACCAAAGGTTTGGGGCTTGCAAAGTCAACCATTAGGCCTGTCTAACAAACACATCCCACTTCTGGCTTCTGCCAGATCCTACAGAGCATCACCTCATGTTTGCTTGAGGGGCAGATTTGTGGCATGGGCAACACATTTCACATTAGGATATACATTCACTTGGTCAGTTTGACATTTTCCATAATGAGGCTTTTCTGCTGCAGAAGACTGGTAAGATTAATTACTTGCTTCACATCCAGATGAAGACAGTTGCACCTCTTGTCTTTCCTAGTACATTTCTGACAGGACATGGCTCCGGTTTTCAGAATTCCACTCTATGCAAAGCTCCTGTATGTGTGTCTCCATTTCACCCCGATGATTGTAATAAAAGAGAACAAATGGCAAATTTTGATTAATGCTACATGACCCTGATTTATCTTTTTCAATAGTTTTGTACTAGTTGAATGAGTAAAATAACAAATGTATTATCATTATTGTACATCATAAAACTTAATCTGTTAGGAAGCACTTCATCATCAGCTACCACTACCTCTCCTTGATTAAGTAATCCTAACTAAAACCCAAAGTTATAACATTTTCCAGCCAGATATGTCAAGTGCAAGTGCAACAAAATAAAAATAAATCTTAAAGGACAATATTGAAAATAAATATTAAATTCCAAAACTGTCCCTATGAATACTTCATACATTTGTAATTGCATGGTGCTATATTAAGTTGAATGATAAGTTAGATGCTGAGGTGAGCGTGAAGCTTTCAGTGCCCTCCAGATGCTTTGCCAGATGATAATAAATTTTAATGTGTACAGTGGACAAATTAATGGAGAGGTTCATCGCTGACAGAACAAAACCTAACTTGATGGAAAATAAAGATATTCATGGTAATTTAAAATGATAGCATAATGACCCATATTTACAATGTACTGACTAAAATGTTTGACTTTCTATGTCAACAAATTTGAGAAACAATAATGAGATATTAACTATAGTACTTATGAGAGATCTCACAAATTTGACGTGGTATAGCTTAATTTTGATTTGCAAGTCAGTAAGTTTTTTATCATTATTATGTCGGTCATTCCTGAACTTTTTGTCCATTTTCCTTTTCTTTGTGGAAGTAAACTGCCTTTTTAGCTGTCCTCATTCGCTAATACTTATAGTCAAGGAGTAAATGATGAACGTTACATGTCACACAGCTGCTAAAACTGAGCTCACGTTTAAAAAAAACGACCGACCTCGCTTCTTTCAAACCCAACAATAGTGCGCATGCGCCAAATTGTGACGTGTCAGGAAAGTGTCAAACAGAGGGATGTGAAAATGATCGGAAACTCACTAGATAAACTTATTAAGCTATTAACTAGTCGACCGCAGAGGCAGTTTGGATAGGACAACCACTGGACTCTGCTGTAGGTATACAATTTATAGTCTAACCGCTTCTCTTAAGTTAAGCAGAGGAACATCGGTTTAACTCACTTTTGAACCCGCGACATTGATCGTCGAGCTAACTTAGTTAGCGACAGTTGAGCTAACGGGAGTCGGTAAAGTAACGTTAGCCAAGCTGGACAGTAATGTTAGCATGGTGACCGGCTTAGTTAATATTAACATGTAACCAGAGCGAAGCTGGCTCTGTTAACGTTAGATAACCGCTTAGGTTAGGTTTGTCGTCCGTCTTTCATTTACTGAGCGTTCAGCACGGTATCCAGCCCCCGGGTAGCTGGCAGCAGGTCTGATAACGTTACTAAAGGAGAGGAGCATGTCTCGGAGGCGGCTGGATAGTCGCAGCGGGCCAGCTGCGGGGCTGCTCAGCGAAATTCAGACCCCAATCAGCACGGAGCCGGTGGAAAGTGTGTATGAAATCACCGGAGAGCTTGGAAGGTGAGTCTAACTGATAAAACTGTTGTCCCGGGACTATCATGGTCCATGAGAGTTTGAGAGGGTCTCCTCTGGGCATAATGCTGTCTGCAAGAGGGTTAAAAGTTGTTCATTTATGCACTTAGTTATTATACTAGGATGTCAAAGGGTTGGGAGATATCGAGTATAATGTTTGTATTTGAAATTAATCTGGATGTTAATGTGAAGCCCAGCTGGTATAGACATACTAACAGGACAGTTGTATTATAAAGCTTGACAACTGACAGTACTGAGAAGAGTCTTATAAAATCCAAAAGTAAGGAAAGCCTGACTGAGACTGTCATACTAGTCGATTTTTATTTATTATAACAATCAACTTAACGGTAGGTTGTATGCCTACTACTATTAAGTATTTTAATTTTAAAAAATTATGTGTATATGCCATACATGAGTCACAATCAGTGTATTGATACATAGTTACAAATGACAGTGAGTCTCTGTATTATTGAAACTTAGACTAAAAGATACATTGTCAACACAGATTTAGACAACTTTAAACATGAGAGTAAAAACACAACAACTGCTACACATGTGGCAACAGATACAGTTAAAGCAAGACTGAACAATATTCTTCGGCAAATATTAATGTGCCCGTTATCTAACCAGTCGTAATAATGTACACTCAAGTCTGCACTGTTGCTGATTTCTGTATTTGCATACACGAATAGCACAGATCATGTATTTCAATGCACTAACTTTGACTGCATTTGGACTCAGGGCTGTAAGCATTAACCACTATAAATACACAAGCCTTGCAGTGCCAGAGGACCTGACTCGATCGTGCTACAGTAGACCATTGTCATGTGTTTAGCACTGTGTTTGTGTGCCATGGCAACAGCTGATGGTTGATGATCATATCCTAAGATATCTGAGGTGTGTTTGAAGTAATGTGTCATGCAGCATGTACTATATAATTCAGATTTCAAAACAGGAGGAAGGAAACAAGCGCATGTGGAAACCAAAGTTTAGAAAGAAGAAATGGCACATGCCACTTCTGTTCACTTATTTGTAATTTATCAAAACAGGAAGTTCTGAGGTGCAGTACTTTCAAAAACATGAGGGCAATTCTAGTTCCACTTTTGACCCCCAAAGGAATGTGTGATTCCCAGCTTTGGTATGACATAGTCTTACATAAATGAACAGTGAGTAGAAAAATTCTGACGGTGTTTACCTATCGCTTTGTCAGGCTACAACTTTCAGCTATATTTATTGTCAATTAATCTGTCAGTATGTCTTTATGAACTTGGTTTTTCATGCATTCATCAGTATTTTCTATATTAATATTGTATGAAACAACTGTGTAACATGACGGGACAGTTGTAGAATTAAGAAGACAGTAACAGAAGTCCAATTTTAAAACTGGTTTTAGCTCACTGTTTTGGCTTTACAGCCTGAACATGGAGTTAATGGTTAGTCTCAGACACACTCCACAACCCTTGTAGACAGCTCTTCACAAAACAACTTTATATTACCTGCCCAGCATCAAACGTAAGACAAAGTTAGCATGTAGCTGGTTAGCTTCTATTCCAACAAGCTTAAGAATCATAAATGTTTGGTAGACCAAACCAGGTGAAGATGAGTTTACCATTCACAAGGAGTGTTATTCAACCCATAAAACAGGTTGTACAATGTCACTTAGCCTTGTCAAGAAAAAAAAACCCATGATGACATCATCAGTGCTTGGAGACTACAATTATTTTTACAGAGAGTACAGTCAGTAAGTTATTGACAAGAGGCATCAAGTTTGAAAGGTGTGGGTATTTACCAGGCAGGGAGGGTAATGCCTGTCACAATAACTACTTTTGGTTGACAGTATATTGTCCTGGAAAAATTGCAATAAACAATGTTACTGTTGTTTTACCACCATGTTATGCCTCTGATTATAATGATGATATATCAAAAAAAAATTAATTAAACCCTCTCAAGAGCAAACAAGTTTTAGTTTTAAAGAATATTCAGAAATCGGAATGGGGATGTGAAGAAAAAGATTAAAATATCCAAATTAAATAGAATAAAACCCTACAATCAAAACAATAAATAAAATAGACTCTTAGGCCCTGTTAACAGAACTTGCACTAAATATGAAGCATTTGGCACAGGGGTATAAAGACTCATTGATAACAGACAATGTAGTGCCGATCCATGCTATTTGGTCTGGCATCATGCTGGGTGAAATGTCGGTGACATTATTGTGTAAACAGACACACATGTAAACAGAAAAATTGGTGCATATCAAATGCTCAAACTACATGAAAACATATCTTGTAACAGTGAAGGGTGGTGGTGCAGAGGAGTGGAATAGTTTAGCACCATTGTTCTGTTCTTTAAGAGAAGTCCTTCTGGGTCTGTAACCTTCACAGCCATTGCTCTTTGGTTCTTGTAATGAAGTTATTTTTGGATTTAAATTGTTTTTCTTGTGTCGCAGTCATTGCAAGGCCCTGTGGAGAAGTGTTTCCACTAATTGCATATCAGCTGAATGCAAACTGTTTTCTTTTTTTTAGAGAGAGGAAGTTAGTTCTAGTTCTATAAACAATGTTAGAGTTTATAATTTTGCTGGCCTTCTTGTTCAGGTATAGCTTAGGACATAAAGTATTTTAAAAAAAAAAAACATAGACTTAGTCAATATTATGTGTCATAAACACCACATTAGCACTCCGTGTTTTTGATAATTCTGTACTGTTGAATTTTTGGTTCTCAGGTTCATCAGCCATGATGAATTATGACACCTAAATCTAGTAGATTGCCACTCGACTTGTATCTTCCCAGTCTTGAGTAACAACTCAGCAATTTCACCATTGATCAAGATATGGCAGCAGCATTAACACCAAGCTGTTGGGAATGTACTGGTTTTAGATAACACACAGATGCTATCTAATGCCTGTTATTGTATAACACCATTGTCCCAGTGCTGCAATCATTTACAAATAGCCATGTCATGAAGGCTGGGAATATATAAGGGGTGGAAATCACCAGAGCCCCTCAATTCAATGTTATCACGATACTTAGGTCACGATGCAATATTAATGCCATTTTAAATGTTTTGTGTTGGAATAACATATATTGCAATGTATTACCATCTTTCAACTGCAAATGAATTGGGATGCACAATAATATCGGTACATCGGGGAAAAAAAAATAATAATAATATCGGTACATCATTGGTATTGGCCATCAGAATCAGCCAGTTTTCTTATTTTGGACAATGAATGAATATTACATACATAGAAAAGCATTGTATTTCATGTCTCCATCTGGTTGTGGGCCATCACAATAAGTGTATGTATGCATAATATGACATTAATTCCACTACAGGAGAGACTTGATGATCACCACAATTAGGTGGGGGGAAAAAGTAGATATATCAATATCGGTATCGGCTATTGGTCAAAAATCCAATATTGTGCATCCCTACAAGTTAAGTAAAAACTTTGGCAACATCTGCTTTTATCTAGTAAAGTTTTCAGTCTGTTTACCTCTCTTTAAT